CGATTCTCCGTCCGTTAACTGCTGCAACACGCTCTCTGTGTAATCGGGAAGTGGGACAGAAATGGCACTCAGATCACTCAGACCACAGAGTTTAACCTGTAATAGGGACACTTGGGTATCACGCTCCCATCTGGGTTAGTAAACATCTCATACCAGAAAGACAAAATGCAGGAAGAGAAGATTATAATCATAAACATATTTTTTAAAGGGGTGGACCGGTAAGCCAGTGGAAGGCCTCGGTCATATGACCAAAAGCTCCAGCTGCGAATCATTTATATGACTAAGACCCGCGTCAGGAAACAATTTTGTTTCCTGGCAAACCTAACATAACCTACAGGAAGGGAAGTAACAGAAAAGCTTATACCAATATATAATGAGCGAGGTTTTGAGAAGACACAATGCAGATCAAGCTTTCTCTAATATAAGCTTGTCCTGATACAAGCTGGTCCATAAACTTGTGGCTTTACTATCGTCAGCAGTACGTCACTCGAATCCAGGTACGTAAAAGTACGGTACACTGGAGTGAAATAAGAAACCAGGACAACCAGGCACCTGGTCCACAACTGCCTGACATTCGTCATTACTAGTAGTCAGGTTACCAGGTACCTGAGGACTTGTTACTGTCTCCCACTATCAGCCACGGATGGGGGAGGAACAGTGTCTTCTCCAGACAGACGAGACGACCACGATATACAACAGCTCAGTCTATTATATTTAGCTAGACCGTCGTTTTCCATCACGCAGGATTGTTATCCTGTGTGATGGAATATGATAGGATAACCATCCTGCGTGATTGAAAATGACAGGTTATTCATCCTGCGTGATTGAATATGACAGGTTATCCATCCTGCGTGATGGAATATGACAGGATAACCATCCTGCGTGATGGAATATGACAGGATAACCATCCTGCGTGATGGAATATGACAAGATAACCATCCTGCGTGATGGAATATGACAAGATAACCATCCTGCGTGATGGAATATGACAAGATAACCATCCTGCGTGATGGAATATGACAAGATAACCATCCTGCGTGATGGAATATGACAAGATAACCATCCTGCGTGATGGAATATGACAGGATAACCATCCTGCGTGATGGAATATGACAGGATAACCATCCTGCGTGATGGAATATGACAGGATAACCATCCTGCGTGATGGAATATGACAAGATAACCATCCTATGGGATGAAACAAGACAGAATAACTACCTAGAGGGATAAATCCTTCCACCATGAGAAGAAATGTGATAGACAAAGTATTCTTTGTGACGGTGTATAACATGAAAATCATCCTGCATGATTATGAAAAAAAAAACATTCTGTGTAAAGAAATATGCTGAAAAAAAATTCCACCTGCATGATGAGGTATGACAGAAAATCATTTTTCGTCATGAAGAATGACGAGGAAATCCGTCCTGTATGATGAAGTATGAGAGGGGGAAATGATCTCGTATGGCAGAGCATAACAATAAAACCGTCCAGCATGATGAAGTATAAGGAAAACGTATGATAGGGACAAAATATATCATATCTATTTTTGATGTAAAAAGAAAGTATTATTTTCCAGGGGGGGGGGTGTTCCAGAGGTCAGCGCCCCCGTGGTCCGGTCCATGACAAAGGCCTCGCTGGAAGAGGTCTGAGGCGGGTGTGATGGAAAAGAAGGATGCATCGTTTTTATTTTTTTTTTTACTTAAATGTAAAGTTTTAAAGGCAGAATTCAACCTCAGGGTACATTTTCCAACTGCTGGTCATAAATATCGAGTTTTTCCAATAATGAGGTAGGGCGAGAGTGGCTCCCTCCTTCCCTGTTCATAATATCGTTGAGTTTACCCACAATAAGTTCCCTATTGAGATACAATCAACACTTAGAAACCAGAGATCATTGTTTATTTCCTCCTGTATAATTATCTACTTGCAACTGCATATTTCAACTTGAAATAACTGAGGATGAAGAACAGTCACAATACCGTGACTGGGATAATAAATAAATAACCCGCACAGAGGAGAAAGGAACTTACGACAACGTTTTGGACTGGCTTAGACTATTGACTAGTTAGACATGTCATCGTAAGCTCCTTTCTCCTGTGTGCGGGGTTAATTGTGTATTGAGGATGACTCAGTTTTACTTCTGTATCGTTCACTGGTTGTTGCGTCTGTCATAGTTTGATCAACTCTTCATTGTGACCTTGAATTCGGAGACTTGTCGTTAGGGTCATGGGAGTCCGACAACTACACATCTTAACGCCACAGAAAAGTTGGTTACACTTCCTTCAGCACCCTGAGGACCGTCTGCCTATGGCGCTGAGGACAAGCTGTTATACTCACCCCTGGGTTCGTAGCGGTAAGCCAGGAGGAAGCCGAAGTACGTAGTATACTCATCACTGATGAAGTCCACTACGAGAGTGTCCTCAGGCGAGGTCACCACCCACTCCCCAGTAAGGTCACCTGACACACGCAGCAGCTGCTCAGTCCGCTCCTCACTACCGTAGATCTGAGGATAAGTCAACATGTTACTCATTAAGGTTACAAAAGCAACATTATTAACACAGGAACATAGTTCCTGTGTCATGGTACTACTAGAGCATGTTCCTGTGTTGTTTGTAATCTGATGTTACGATTTCACGTATCAATACTATTAAAGGGCATGATAAATACGTGAAAGGGGTTGGATCTGATTGTTACTTGCGCATGAGCTTAACAGGGTTAACAAAGCTTATTCCCTGGGATGCAATGAAAATGGGTTGGGAAAATATTTTTGTTAGTGGGTTTCGTTTTGAGAAGGACCCGCCTAATATGGAACAGTTGACCTGCTGCTGCATTTCTCCTTTATGTTCATTCTTAACTGTTTCTCCCTACCCACCCACAACCGTCTTTTGTTGCTTTACTCTACCCTAACCCTTCTCCCCAATTTTCATTTTTGTTATGTCAGTGGTTTAACAAAATCTGAGGCTGCTATGGCGATTAACTCAAGAGAAGGATGCACCCAATTCCCTCTATCAAGAGTCTTTTACTGGGGTTAGGTTAATGTAAATTAACCTAGCTTACCAGCTGTAATAGACGTTAACAAGGATAGATACAGTCGTGAGTCGCTTAACGACGGGGATGCATTCTGATAGTTGAACATTAAAATGGTATAAAATACCGACAGTTGTTAGGTAAGACACTATGCAGCAGTTTGTATCTTATTGAACGTCGGATAGAAGCAGAGATATGAAGAGATTAACAGTCCACTACCCTTAAAGTTTTAGTGGTCATCCCTCAGTCTGAGAAGAGCATTGTTACCATATATGTTCCTACTATGACAATGCTCTTTCCAGACTGAGGGACTGACCACCTCAACTTAGGGTGATGGATGATTACATCGTCTCAAGTATCTTCTGCTCTATCAACTTCGTACTGACTGAAAACTACTGTGTAGGGAAACGTTCATAATAAATACCTAAAGCTGCATATGGTTTACCTAACATCTGATAGTTGCTCCGTTAGGCGATTGTCGTTGTGCAACGTCATAGAGTGTACTTACACAAATCTAGATGGAAGAGCCTACTACTCACCGAGGCTATATGTTATAGCCTACTGCTCCTAGGCTATATGGTATAGCCTATTGCTCCTAGGCTATATAGTATAGCCTACTGCTCCTAGGCTATGTGGTATAGCCTACTGCTCCCAGGCTATATGGTATAACCTACTACTCCTAGGCTATATGGTATAACCTACTGCTCCTAGGCTATATGGTATAGCCTACTGCTCCTAGGCTATATGGTATAGCCTACTGCTCCTAGGCTATATGGTATAGCCTACTGCTCCTAGGCTATATAGTATAGCCTACTGCTCCTAGGCTATGTGGTATAGCCTACTGCTCCCAGGCTATATGGTATAACCTACTACTCCTAGGCTATATGGTATAGCCTACTGCTCCTAGGCTATATGGTATAGCCTACTGCTCCTAGGCTATATGGTATAACCTACTACTCCTAGGCTATATGGTATAGCCTACTGCTCCTAGGCTATATGGTATAGCCTACTGCTCCTAGGCTATATGGTATAGCCTACTGCTCCTAGGCTATATGGTATAGCCTACTGCTCCTAGGCTATATGGTATAGCCTACTGCTCCTAGGCTATATGGTATAGCCTATTGCCAATAGCCTGTTGCTAACAAGCTGTGTGGTATAGCCTATTGATTCTAAGCTACATGGTATAGCTTATTGCTCTTAGGCTACAAATCTTATGGGCCATGAAGAACAAAACACGAGAATAAATCGGGCACAAGGGAAAGTGATGCTAAGAAATACAGCAAACACCAGATAAATGAAGCTACTGCCGGCGTAACACCCCATACTGTTTTACAGTAGACTTTTGTTACATAGACAGAGAGAGTACACTCTAAAATAACAATAAAAAGTACAGTATATTGAGTACATAAACCAGTAACATAGTCGTTTATTATAATTAACAAGTATTATGTACTGTACATAACTGAATGTGCTGCAATTTTATACGAGTGGAGCCGTAGTCTTGAAGGAACTGAAGCATAGTCATGGAGGTTGGTGCTTATATACCGGCGTCAGAGGAAGGACGTGCAGCAGACGAAGGCATTGTCTTTGGTAGGCAGGATTTCCCAGTGGAAGCAGGTTATAACCTAGGAATGGGCCAGTAGTAAGCAAGAAGACCGTGTAGACGTCTTCTGTGCTGCAGTTCCTTCAAGACTACAGTTCTCTTCACCTTATCTTTGGTATATAATTCTTCACATTATGTCCTCGTATTGTACTGATAAAGCCACTGGAGGGTGAAACGTCTATAAATAAAGATACCCAGATGTTGCACATGTGTCTAATTCTTCATGTTGTCGGGATTGGGTACCATACATATACAGTTACAAAAATTATGCTTTGGGGGAAACACAACACCGAACTTCTAACAATAATGGAAAAAAAAAGACAGTCTAGAACAAGCTGTACAGAGAACCATGGAAAGGTCGACTCTAGTTAAA